CAAAATATTATTAAAAGGAATGAAATTTTATAGGAACCAATCACTTCTTCGTAATTAAAATGATCTTATTTATCAACCTGTGGTATACTTGTATTTAATTGAAATTGGCGTTTATCTGCAAGGCTCAGCTCATACGTTATTATAGAGACAAGAGACTGATATAGTAGCGATAAGCGAAAAAATGGACCACCCTTTTTTACTGCAACAGGCCTGATAAAAATCAATTTTTAAGTGTCTTTATCAGTAAGATATGCGAGTGCGGCAAAGATAAGGCAGGTTAGTACAATGAATGATATAATCTTCTTGAAACATTGGTGAGCCTTCTATAATTGTAGGAATTATCAATCATCTTTAATTCATTGAGCCCTTTGAACGGTACTTGTTTCGGAATTTCAACGATCTATTTATTATACACAAACTTGAAACAAAAGACTTTAAAATACTCTTGAACTAAACCTTAATTTTTATATATTATTAAAATTGTTTATTGTAAGTCAATCATTTGATCATCAAAAATTTTATTAAAATGAGTTAAAAATTTTTTATCATACGTGATCTTTATGCTATGTTCATAAATAATTCTATTTCAAAAAGTACTCTTTTATTTATGCGGTTTATTCTTAAATAAATAACATCTTCAAAAGATGGTTTATTTTTACGATCTTCAACGCTTTAAGTCTTATTCGAACTTTCAAATAAAAAATCACAACACGGATGTACTGCAAAGCCTTAGGGGAGGATTCTACTCAAGATAATTTGCTGCAATATAACTTTTAAGATGCAATTACCTGATCCAAATAAAAACATGTCTCATGAATTTTCTTTGTAACAAAAGACACATGTACCACAGCATGTTGTTATTCTAACAACTTGCTATCATTCAGAAGGTTGCATGTATCGGAATGAACCTTTGAGTTATACTAACAAACCTATCAAATAATTTGAACATTTACTTATTTAAGCGCGGCGTCATTACGTCACTCACTTTGTCTTCAAGCAAATGACGTCGCATCGAAAAACCTGTTTTAATTGAATCAAGCAGTGCTACCTTGTAATTTTATGTATCGAAAGGAAAACGCTTTAAAAGTGTAATGATCTTTTGAGAATGCACGTGAAACATCAATTTTTATAATAATCTTTACAGGAGTGCTATTATATTATCGTTGTTGTATTTATGTTGACAAAATAAAATGAAATGGCGTACATAACAATACTGCTATACCTTTTCAAGTATATATTATGTTTACTTTCAAATAAGTTATTTATATAGGCGTGATTTTAAAATTTATGGCTAAACACTCGAAGTAAAAAGCACGTCCCCAAAGTTAAGTAATATATTAAATTACAGTAATGCATCTTATATTGGCTGAATACTTCATTTCTTGGAAAAATCAGGTTATGTATTACTTTGATACATAAAAATGGTTAAATCATCGGATCTTTCGAATTCTTTTTCATTGTAACTGAACAATTTCTTTATCATTTATGCACAAAAATTCATTTTTGTGCATTTCTAGATATTTATATCTCATCAGTACTGAAGCATCGGTTTTCTAATCAAGAGCATACAAGATCTTTTATGTTTTAGCCAAATCATAATAACCAATTGCGAACATTTGGATGTGTAATACTTTTTTATATAACAGTATAATGAAAATATGTACTATTATACGTATCATCTGTTCATTCATATTTTTATATATGTATATATATAAATATATATATATTTTATACATATACATATATAAATATATATGTTTGTGTATATATATACATGTATATACATATATATATAAGTTACATATAATGAGATCCAACTGAATCTTTCGTTCTTAATATACATATAATGTAAAATAAAGATCAATGTTTAAATAATAAATGCTATTGTTTTATTTTTTATAAATGTTTAAAAATGGTACATATCGATGAAATTGTCATAACCTAAATTATCGCAGATCAGCATAAGAAATGAAACATTATGTAGGCCCATCCATGTTTAATACAATAAAAACAAAGAAATTAAAACTTTTAGAAGATCCTTGTTACTTAATATACCTAACAAATCAAATTTAATATAAGTTAATTCTCACGATTCATAGTTAAGGTTGTTGGGCTACACAAAAATCTTTTAATTTGCAAATCTAGACATTATTTATGTCTACATCTTTTTTGTGTTCAAACATCCAAACTTATATCACTATTACGTCATGATTTAATAAAAACTTCGACTTTCAAACTTTAAAATTAATACTGTGCATTAAATATTTTAAAGAAATTATTATTTATAATATTATAATAATAAATATGATAATGCGAGGTTACGCTTCAATTTTTTAGTATTTTGTTTTACTAAAACTTGATAATTAAAAATCTTAATTTCCACAGAAATACTGATTAAAAAAAGATTTTGATACGGTAAGATTCTCCGTGTATTCTGAATACCACATACACTTAAAACTTTTACGAGCAATATATATATATATATATTTATTGAGCGATGAGTAAATAACAGATAGCTGAAGTCAAACGTAAGCTACTATATGTGCTTCAAACTATAAGCTCGTTTTAAAGATAAACTAGCGTTTATTGATATACCTTCTAATTACTGAACGCATCAAGTTGTAGGTGCATCTTTTAACTTTAATTAAATAAAAATTTTTTTTATTAAAAACTCCATTGATAAATTACCAGAAACTTTACCACCATGCATGAATTTAATCATGTCGGAAGTCTCTGCATATAAGTAAATGCAATTTCGACGTATTTTTCCGACATCCGAAATTATCCAAAAATGTGATAACTTAATTAATGTATTATCATCACCAATATTAAACTTTATTAACGTATTATCATCAATAGCAACTTTATTTAACTAATATCAACAAACCCATGGAACTTAAACGGAAATTTCATACCCGATATCAAACAACTCTAAGAAAGAGTGCTTAATTTCGAAAAAATGCTGTTTATATGTGGGATTTTACGTTTTAAGATATTCCCCTAATTTTTTTTTTCATTTAACCGCATCTATAACAGACCTAGTCTTATACGCCTTACTAAATTTTTATTTGTTGCTGCGTAAACTTTATTACCAGACAATTGCCAGTTTTGTGGTTTAAATTCATCCCGAATACCCCATTTGTCTCTCCTTTATTGATTTTAACGATTGATTCATTGTCTTGACTTACATATGCGTATATTTGCCGTACATTGCATTTGAATTAATCTATTTTTAACAAGGACAAGTAGGACAAATCAGACATTTACTACATTTATGCTGTGGCATATTGTAAACATCACATGTAGCATGACTTTGTCTGTTCTGTTTTTATTGTTTGTCTGTCTATCGAAAAGATTTATCTTATTGATAAGTTTCTATTGTTAGTATTACATATAAATTTTAATACAAATCGATGTGAAATTTCATAATCTTAATAAAATTAATTATTATGGTTATTATTATTTTACGTATTAACATATCGATATGACGTCTCATAATTTTATTAATAAATAATAATAATTATACTATTGTTATTGTTTATTATTTTTATTATTTACATGATTTAACATCAAGAAGTTAATCGTGCATATTAAACATCATAATGTTGCGGTTAGAAGGGTACACAATCGACCTCTAACCAAATTTTTATCTTTGTCCGCTGTTTATAAGCTTTAGGCGCGGATAATAATAGATTTTGAACTTCGGCCTTTTGTTGTTCTGAAGAGGTTAGTAAGTTAAGTCTTACGAGGTTAGAAGATAGGTCTTAACCGAAACTTGGCGTGAAGTCGTATTCGAAATTTACGCAAACGATGGTATTTGATTTGGAGAAAAGTAATTTGCAATAGGTTTTTAACAATGTTCTGAAATTAATGAACGCAGTTTGATAATGTAATTAATTGCGTTTATCTCGAAGATCGTTGAAAATATGGTTATAGTTATTTTAAAGATTTTTTTGAATGAATTTTCTTGATCAAATATCTGCTATTTTATATTTAATCAGATTAAGAAAAATTTATGAAGGCAATTACATTTTACATTATTATAGTTTAAAAAGCCAATATAATATCATTATTGTCCTGTTCGACGCTAATGTCTTTGTTTCGCAAGCCATCATAAAGAAATCTTCTGAATAAAGAAAGTTTGTTGTTTATGTTAAATTTTTATATTCGGTAAAGTTGATTTTAATTACTTCCGATTATTCACTTAGAATTTAAAAATAAGCATCACCGAATTTATACATGGGATGACAGACGTTTAGAAAGCAGGAAGCGCATTTGGTTTCAAGTTTTTTGAAATTCTTATCATAATATTATTGATTGTACATTTTTTAATTCATTTTGAATTGCTCGTATAATGGGCATGCCCGAATTTATTTTAACGTAAGACAGAGATCACCCATACCCCGATACATGTATTTTGTGTTCTATGCGTACGAATGAATCACAAAATTTCAATGAAGTATCCTTCAAAGATTTTGCTATAGGTCGTTAAAATTTTCTTTTTGCAAAAGAAATTTAGTGCATCAGGATTCTTTTAACGGTTGCTTATTTGTTGTTTCAGGATCTCTGATTTTTTTTGTTGTTTCATATTATTTTTAAGCAAGAAAATAATGAAGTAAAAAGATGGTGCAGCAAAAAAAAACATTAAAGTTTTCCGTTTTCTTGTTTGTTGATCGTTTTCGTTGTAGACAATAAGAATAGTTTTTTCTTTTTTTTGTAATACTGTAATTGGTAAATGTCTCAGAAAAATAGTATCTTTCAAATATCACATAATTTTTGGCAAAGTTTCAGAATAAAGGGTGTAAAATGCTACAATTTGGTGAGAAAAATTTAATCAGAACGGCATAAAAGTAATAAATTAATTTCTCTGCATGAACCGGTATATCATTCACAATCCACGATACGATTCTTTATATGCCTCAATATTAAATTTTAAAAATTTAAATGATGTTTTCAAACAAATGTCAATGTTGCAAATCAAAAGTCACATTGCATATATATTACATGTCATGTATTAACCCATGTATAAATTTCAAATTCTCACATGAAGTACGTAGTTTACCCCAATTTTTTATTAGAGCAGGGGAATTACCATTAAAAGTTTCATCAAATGCAGTGTTATTTTGTGGACACAATACGCTATTACCATATATATACTTTTTTATTCCAGTCTTTTGGTGAGAATTGAACTATAAGTTTAATGAAAAAATTTGAAAAATAGAATAGGCACTTGAAATGCAACAGATAACAGGTTCTACGCTTTATAGGTAGTGAAATAAAGTCAAGCTAATTTTAGAGAATAAACGGCATGACATGACATGATTAAAGATTGCGAGTTTATTTTTAGAAAAATATTGATGGAATAGGCAGAATTTTTCCGTTCATATTTTCGTTTAATTTTTGCAGGTTGGAATAATTGGTATTTCCAAACAAACGACTGTGTAATGTTTCTCGAAAAACTTTTTGTGCTCATTTTGAGATAAAAATAAAAACATACACAAACATTCGTAGAATCTGTAAAAGAAATTTCTTAGCGAATGAAACTTATACGACTAAAAAATGCAAGACAGTGATATATCTCTTAAACTATGTAACATGCATACAAATCCGTATATATCTAGTGTATGCATATACATTAATGTAGGTATCGTTATCAACTTTTATCTTGGCAAAATTCTTGCCGAATATTTGCAAGATAATAATAAAGGGCGTCTTCAGTGAAAACTTGAATAGTTTCTTTCCGAAATTTTTGTCAATTGTGTCGCTAAATAATTTAACACTTGATGCGAGAAACGCGAAACAAGGAGAAGTGCTCAAAATTTCTTGCTTCAATAAAAGATTTTTTGGGACTACCCATCGAAAAAACTAATATAAAAGAAAGGATAATTCCAGACAACAGAAAAATACATCACACCAAAAATATGATCAGTATCAAAAATAAGTTACCACGATTCACGAAAAATCTTTGATCAAAATCGCAATAGATCAAAGACCAACCAAAAACACATAATAAATTTCCATGCACGCATCATAAACCTAACGCTAATCCATATTATCATTTTCATTTAAGTCTTTCCCCACACAAATACTACCACTAAGCGTATTATAATCGATTCGATTTATGCTTAATACTACCAAAAATAATTTAAATGATACTGCTCTTTAAGTAAATTTTTCGTAAGTCAATTCGACGGACAAACGTACATTTTTCGTTATAATATTTTTTTCGGTTTCTCCCGCGATAGTGTATTCTCGTTACAATTTTTTCGATTTTTTTATCCTTGCATGTAAAGGAAAATCTAGTGACTTCTGCCAAGCACTTTAAATTTCGATTTAATCTTTCGACATATTAAAATCCCGAATTATAATTTTAGTTTGATGTAAAATATCATTTTTATTAAAAAAACAAAACTGAAATTTGAATTTGTTAAATGTGTAAATGAGAGAATCTTTGAAAGAAAATTCATGTTATATTTAATGAGGATTGGAACCATCTAAAATGTTTCATCAACTGGAATTAATAAAGATTCGTCTGATACATTAGTCCAATTATTCAGCATGGAAATAGTAATGAATTCATTTAATGATGGCAGATTTAAGGCAGTGTTAAGTTACTATTATCAATGATTTCGCTAAATTTAAAATTCAGCAGAATTTAAGTAATTGAAACATTGCTGAAAACAAATGAAACGTAGCCACCATTAATGGATTCAGCAACCGAATTGACGCTAGATTCTATCTAAATAATAACAATAATAGTTGGTTTGGTGATAATTCTGCTCGCAATACTCAAAATATTTTCTAGCAACCTTTGTTTGGAGTTCTAATACTATAAATAGTAATTCTAAATAGTGTTAGTTTCATTATCATCACATACAATGTGTGACAAAAAACTTAACTATTTGCCGATCACGTTAGACAATAAATAAACATCGCCAATTTTAGCTTAATCTGTGTCATTTTTTAAGTTAAATAACGGTTTTATTTACTACACTTGTTAAATAAATAATCTTCATAAGTAAACTCTCGCAAAATTCGCTATCAAACTACTCGCGAACAAAAGATGCACAGCTTATTACATTATTGAAACGCGTTCTGTACCTGAACTATCCAAACTTACCCAGTTACCTGTCTCTACTGTACGATATAGTGTTGAAAAGCTAGCACTTTGAAGTATAGAGGTGGTAATGGTCGTCCAAAGAAAATAACAGTCAATATAGCTAAAACTATTGGCCAATCCATTCGTCATGACAATACAATATCATTACGTTCTCTTGCCACTAAACTTAATAACCGTGATGTTGATGTGTCTTATCATACAGTTGGCAGACATTTGAAGTCACAAGGATATAAAAAAAATCTACCTTTAACTACGCCAATGTTAACGGAGACTCATAAGCAGAATTGTGTTGAATGGGCCAAGCGTCACCTTAACGATAATTGGAAAGAAACCCTATTTACTGATGAAACAGTGTTTCAATTGTTTCGGAACACAATTGAATGCTGGTATAAAGGTAAACGTCCAGTTTGTCGTATGCCGAAAGACTATAGAAAAATCTTTGCCTGGGGTGGTTTTTGCGCAAAGGGAAAGACGAGTCTATTTTATTTCCGACGTATATATGAATGGCAAGTTTTATGTTAAAATCCTTGAAGACTATCTCGAAAGGTCAATAAAATGCTCGGGAAGAAGTGGCGCTTTCAGCAAGATAACGATCCCAAGCATACCAGTCGGATAGTTAAAGCGTTTCTTGCTGATAATGTACCTGAAGTTATAGAGTGGCCATCTTGTAGTCCCGACCTTAACCCTATAGAAAATTTATGGGCCATTGTTAAGAGTAACGTTGAGAAACGAATGCCTAAAAATTTGGCTGTTTTAGAGAAGTTTTTGATGGAAGAATGGGATTCTATTCCAAAAACCATTCTAAATAATTTAATAAATTCGATGAGACGTCGTTGTGAGTTAGTTATTGAAAGCAAGGTGAACGAATCAATTTTTAAGCCTAATAAATTTTATTCTGTAACTTTTTCGCTTTTAAATGATATATTGTTCACCAAATTTGATGCAATCTTCGTGGATTTATGAATTTAGTATACCGTAAAGTCCCGATAATAAGCAACCCCCTAAAATAAGCAATCCCCCCCCCCTTCAGGCCCAAAAGTATTAGATAAGCAACCCCTATTTGCGATAGTAATTTTTAATATATAGCAGTAAATGTTTTCCGAGTATTTCGATAACCAGGGACCAGATTCAAACGAAAAAACCGTCAAAATGATCGCCTCAACAAGACGAATCTGATGAGCTATAAAACGTTCGATTTGAATCATTAGTCGTCGATATATTTACGTTTATTTAAAGGGCTCGAAAATAAGCAACCCCCCTAAAAATTGACCTCAAAAATGATGACGTAGGGGGTTGCTTATTATCGGGACTTTACGGTAGTTGTTTTTTTGTCACTTCCATCTCGCATAAAAAACCAGAAATTCGCTATTAATGCAGATCGGAAATATTTATTATTGGTGGGAAACTAATAAAAAATTCAAAATAAATTTTTCGATTCCAAAAATGATTTTCTGACTTTAAAATCATATAAGTAGATAATACTTAATCATATCAGCTGATTTGATTTTTTATAATAGGATATTCTCGGGCTAAATGACGATTACTGATCTGAACAAGTTACTCGTTTCGTTGAATTTTTTGTACAATTATTATACTATCTAAACAATGGTCCGAGATCTTTCAATTGGTGAAATACAATACAGTGGGTGACAAAAATAACCGGGATATCATAAAAAATTTGTCAATTATATTGCTTTGAGATCTAAAGAGCAAACTTGTCTAATATTACAAATTAATATAACCTAATGCAGAAAAATCTCAATAAATACGCACCCTTTGTAAATGCATATATTATATAAATTCTTTCTAAATACATGACATGACTCGGTCCCAACTTATAAGAGTTTTATATATTTTGCTTCTCAAAAATGCGCACTTTTCTAAATACATATTCTGCCTTTTTTTCTATAATTCTAAGAAGAAGCATTTAGAGAGATTTCTCTATAATACCTTCATAGACTTGCATTGAAGATTAAGAATCCTAATTTTAAAAATTTAAGAATAATAAACTTATTTTAAGTATACTTATCTTTATATTTATAAAAGTCAAAAAAAATTTTACTTTATTTAAAACCTTGCTATAGTTATCATTTATTATAAAAAGCATCTCTTTATAATTATATTCTTTTAGATTGCATTTTAAATAAATTTATAATATAAGAAAAGTTTTTTTATTAAAATTTATTAAAAAATAATAATAAAAATAATTTTAACTAAATTTATAAGAATAATTATAATTAATATAATAAAGTGTGTAACAAAAAAAACTGGATATTTTAATTTTCTTCATAAATATTCATTTGAATAACATAAAAATTTAAATATATATACTTGAGATATGTTAAATAATTTTATTTAAGACTACTTGAACACTTATCTTATTAAATTTTTTTATAATTTATGGTTTTAAAATTAAAAATTTTTAATAATAAGAAAACTTAAATAAATTATTATAAATAAATTTGATTATTATTTTGCAAA